GGGATGTTGGCCCCGCCCTCGCTTGGGCAACGCCGACGACTTGGTCGGATGTACGGGAGAAGCAGCCGACTGTTCACAGTGGGAGAGCTGCTCGACGGACTTCGTCGAGCTGTAGGGGACCGTTGTGGTGCTGCTGTCGACCAGGGAGCTCGACAGCTGCAGCTGACTGGGCTGGGCGATGGGTGGGCCGTCGACCAGAAGGGGCAGTTCGACCGGGAGGCCGACAGAGCAGTCCGTGTTTTGACAAGTGAGCAGCGGTCGACGTGGGGAGCTCAGCGACAACAACTGGCAGTTCTGGTCGACGGAAGGGGTCCGTCGACCAGGGGGTAGCTCGACGGGAGCTGTGGTCGACTAGGGGCTCCTGGTGGTCGACCAGAGGGATCCAGTGGTCGACCAGAGGCACTTGGTGGTCGACCAGAGCACCTGGCGGTGTCCAGGTCGACCGGGTAACCTGCTCGACGAGTTCTGCGGAGGCACGCGAACGTCGTCGAGGTCGCGATGGCGAAGGCGACTTTGGGCTGGTATCCCGAAGTCGATGTGGCTCGTCAGGCGCAGACAACGGCCGACGGATGCACAACGATGCAAGTCGGGCCAATAGTCTACGCGCACATGCGAGCGTGCGCACTGCTGTCTTCTACGGGGCAACGTTGGACTGTCGCTCAGCTGCAGCGTTGGCACGCCGTCAACCTGCTCTGTTGGCAGGTCGCCTTTCTGCAGTGCTGACGCGGCTCCTCTACGCAACGCTGGCAGGCGGTCGTCCAAGATGTGCTGGCGGTCGACCAGGCTAGCTGCAGAGTTGCTAGGTGCCTGATGTAGTCATTGTTGATGTAGTCATATTCAACTATTATGTAATGTGAACTTTGCCTAGTGAAACTCTTACCGATTTCTCCCGTGAATGTGCAAGCGCTAAGGAACTAAGCAAAGCTACGATCACTCCTAGTAGTTCGTGCCAACCCCCGGTAGTCTAGCTCACTATCTTGTAGAGTGAATCCGCATGGTGCGGTGAGCGTGGAGGACTAGGGTTCGATTCCTGCTTTTGGCGACTTCCTGTGCCCTAGTGGTGGGCCCTCCCAGTGAGGGGAGTGTTGGAAGTGGACACTGGAATGGCCCAAAAGTGGTCTCCCCAAGGGCTACAGGTGTCGTCCTGGGGGGTAATGGGTGCGATGACCCACCAAGGAAACATGCCCTTTTATCCCAATCAATTAGTGGATTGGAATGCTATCCCTGCAAAACTTGCCCCCACGGTCTGAGTGGAGACAGGAGACATGACAACCACAAGTGCCCTCAGTGGCCAGAAGCCACCGGATCAGCGTAGAAGTCACCTCGGACTTCTTCGCAAGAGGAAATACCGTGGTGTACCTGGACTAGTCGTCGACGACCACCAGAAAGTAGCGCTCCCTCTCAGGTCCCTACTTAGAGGTAGGGCCCCAGACGTCCAAATGGAGAGTTTGGAAGGGAGCAGTGGCCAGAAGAAGGGAGGAGGAGTGCGGAGTGGCGCGCAAGCGGCCGGCGACGCGAGGAGTGCACGACGGTGCAGGCGAAGGAGGGAGTGACGCAAAGACGCGAGGGAGACCCAAGATAAGACGGTGATTAGCCATGCTGCGGAGGCGGGGGATCGATGGGTGGCCAAGAGGGTGGTGCCACAAGATGGTGGTGGGAGAGAGACCGACAGGAGCAAGACGCAGCAACCTGACCAGACGCAGCAACCTGACTAGACACAGCAACCGGAGGGGACACAGTAACCTGACCGGACTTTTCTACCTGGGTGGACGTAGTAACCTGGCCGGACTCTGCTACCTGGTGGGACGCAGTGTGCAGAATGAAAATACCTGAGTGGGGCTCCCTGGTGAACGTGGGAAGAAGAGCCCCGGTGGAAGCATCCGTACAGATCGCCGTCCTCCCGTGCGCAGGAAAATTGATTGTGATCCCACGGTCCTGAAGGTATCCAACACCCACCAAGTTCCGAGAGAACGAGGGGATGTAAAGACCAGTGAAGAAAACAGAAGGGACAGCTGGGCACGGGAGAGTGTTCGAGCTGCGAGCGACTGCTGGTCCTCAAGTAGGATCAGCCAAGGCAACTGGGATTGGAGCCGAAAGAGGTGTGACAGTGGTGTGGTCGCGGAAGAAGCACTGCGACGTGCCTGAGTCCAGCTTAAAGGAGAGCGACGCGACAGCAGACGTCACGGCTGGACTAGTGACTACAGAAGCATCTACACTAAAAGCACAAGTACCTACACTAGAAACAGGCAAAGGTCCTAAGCTAGGTGCATGCAAGCCAAGAGATCCATACGTGACAAAATAAGCAGCATCCATAGACATATCAAATACAGGGTTAACCACTACGAGACAGACCGGGCCAAATCGGTGGCCTCGACTCAAGCCCAAAACGCTCACGGTATAGGTCGTCGAGGCGGCTGTAGCAGCGTTGTGCAGAGTGGTCAGGACGCCAGCAGGTAGGGGCCGGTACTGGCAGGGGCCGACGTCGCGGCCACTGCGACGAGCCCCCAAGCTGGCTGGGCCGCTGCTACAACCAACGCTACCCAAACAACCAGGCCCCCACGGCTGCTGAGGGCGCCACTACTGCTGAGGGCGCCACTGCTGCTGAGGTTCCCACTACTGAAACTACCGTTGCTGCTGTCCCTGCTGCTGGAGAACTCTAGTGGACGCCATGGTAAAGGCTAGCTGGGTGCAGGAGCGGTAGGCTAGGAGCGAGTGGAGCTAGGAGCGACTGGAGCTAGGAGCGACTGGAGTGAGACACGGCCGGAGCTAGAAACGCCAGGCTAGAAACTGCGGGCTCGAGGAACGGCTGGAGCGAGAACAGCTAGGAGCGAGGCACGGCTGGAACAAGGCACGGCTGGAGCAAGGCACGGCTGGAGCAATACTAAGAACTACCAAAGAAGAGACACCATCCTAGGAACATTCGGCTAGGCAAGGGGTGCTAGGAACACCAGTCGAGGCACAAACTGAAACTACGCTAGGAAAAGTGATTGCGGTTGCCCGCCGCGGTTAGGGATGCCAAAGACAGGAGGCGTGCACTAGACAATGGGCACTGGTGGTACGATGGGCGGCTATGGGCGGCAGTGGGCGGAAAAAAATGGGCGGAATTAGGCGGTGGTGGGCGGCTAGGAGGGGTTGTGGGTGGCTAGGAGAGGCTGTGGCCGGCTGGGATGAATTGTGGGCAGCTGGAAAGAGTTTTGGGCGGCTGGTGTCTGCTGCTGACGGTAAATTCGAGCGAGTGCTGCTCGCGCTAGCGCTTCTGCTGGCTGCGTGTAATGCAGCCGTGCGCTGCTGCGTGCGGGCAGCAGGCGGAGCGCGGCGTGCGCAGCGCTGCACGTTCGTTGCTGCTGAGGCAGAGGCGGGCTGGCGGCTAGCGTAGTTCTGCTGGCGGCGAGCTGAGGTGCTGGCAGCTAGCATAGCTGCCAACGGTTGGCAGTAGTGAGTGCCTACGGGTGCAGCCCGCACAACAGTGTCGGTGTGCGCTGCGGCGCGTATTGCGGCAGGGCAGGCTGCTGTGGCACGCTACGCGCTGGCGCTTGTGTGCCTGCTGAGCGCGTGCGCATTGCTGGTGTGCGAGTGTCACTGGCGCTCGCTGTGCTGGCGCGCGCGCCATGCAAGCGCGATTTGCTGGCATGCGCTGCCTTGCTGAGCGCACTATGCTGGCGGGCGCTGTGCTGGTACGTGCGGAATGCAGGCGCGTGTTCGAGAGGCTAGAAGGGAGCGCGCGAGTGCTACTGCACTAAGGTCGACGGGAAGGCTGGCTGGCGGAGGCGCCACGCTGGCAAAGGCTGGATGGCGGAAACGAAGCTAAGGACTAAACTGGCTTAGGAACGTTGCTAGGGAGGTAAGTTAGGTCAAGGAAGGAACTAGCGTGATACCATCTCAAAGTACTAGCGGAATAGGTTGATCGACTAGTAGGGCAAGAGGTACAAGTAGGAATGTCGAGGGAATTTGTGTACCCTATACTAGGCAACCCACTATAGCCTAGCAAACTAACAAAACATATACATGTTATTTGACAGAGGATTGCACTAAGGTGTCAAACGAGTACAAAGTATGTGCGAAGGCATGAGCGAATACTTATACGCGAAACATGCAAACGGTAACGCGGTGCGTGCGAGCTAGCTAGTGCTACGCTGGCGCGAGGTTCAGGCTAGTCCCGAAGCGTAGGCCAACTCGGCTGCTCCAACAGTGCGAGGTTTGGTGAAACAGTGCGCGCTAGGTTGGCGAAGCCGCGAACAACGGCTGCTGCTGTACGCGATGTTGACAGTCGCGGTAAGAAAATTCCTTAGACATTGTATACCCCTATGACAGCAGTCCACACCAACTGTAAAAGCTGGAATTTGATCAGATTTCTAGTGATGTATAGCTATACGAATTGTCACGGCATGTGAGTACGCTGCCCGACAAGTGTTCAGTCTTGATCTCTGATCTGTTCTCCACTCTCCCGCCAGCCTTGGAGCTTCTTCGTCCAGCCTTGAAATTGCATTTTGGGGCAGAAAGGGGTGGGGTGCCCCTTTGCGGTAACCAATTTCGTCATTTGCAAAGATGTCTCGCCGAGGGTCAGCTGGACACACAACAGACATGAACCTGTACGTGAGATGAGAATTCACCAAGCAACCTTGGGAACGTACGGCGTGTTCTGCTGTACGTACACACTCGTGTGAGCAGCTGGGTCTCAACTCAAGCATTTGGAATTCCGTTTTTAGCTGCTCATATGAGCTTCATGGTCCATTCATGGCCATTCGGCTGCGCTAGCTCATGCGTGCTCTCTGGCTGATCATCTCATGTGATCGCTCCAAACAAGCGTGTTTAGAAACATCCAGCCGCCTCTCTTTAATCGCTTGGTTGAACAATTACAGTTCACTTATCGCTGCGGCGGTGGTTCGTCAGACTACTTGGTGTCGCTCCGTCCAAGCGTTGCTGTGTTCGTCGCGATTATTGTGGCAACCACTGCGACTATCGCGAATCTTGCGACGATTGCGATCAGTCAGTAGGTTCCCATGGACGACCTAATATCGCTAGGCGAGACGTTACAGCAGGCGTCGTCGGCGCTCGTGGGAGACGACATTCAGGCGGACCCTCGCTCGGGCTCTGCTCCCGTCATCCAGCTTTTGGTCATCGGCGCGCCGGTACGATGCTCGTTCAGTCAACACAGTCGAACGTCCGATGCTTTTGGAGTCGACGCAGACGTATGTTGCTTGTCGAGTCGACACAGGCGTACGACCTTCGGGACTCAGAGTTACCACGCTTCTAGTCGACACGGAAGCACGACGCTTGTTAGCACATCAACAGGACACTTCTTTGCTCCCATCCTGCTGTCCGTCGTCCGCGCTACGGGACGACGCTCAAACAACACGTGTCATCGCATCTGACACACTATTGTGATGCCTCAGCGTAGACACGGTCGATCATGATGTCCAACACGTACGACACGCTATTGTGATGACTTCGCGTAACACGCACTCGGACATGATCTCGTAGCGTACGACACTCTGTCATGAACGGCGTTTCAGTGTCCGACTGTTGTCACTATCTCCAGGGCTCCGTGTTAACAAGCGTCAGTCATTCCATAGCAAGGATTAAGCTTTCATCCTCACACGCTTCTTCCGTCGTTCTCTTCTCCCTGTCGAAATTCTGTTCTTAATGAGCTTGAAGTCTGGTCGTCGTTTTGCTTTCCCCTTATTACCTGCAGGGTTCGGGGAAGTCGGCTGTTCTCAACACGCTCATCGGCCATGCCGTCTTGGTATGTCGGTGGATCAAACAATTGATGTTTTTCCTGTGTCTGCTAATAAGTACTCGATTCCAATTATCTTTCACTGGTGACTTTGATAGGACGAGTATCCGCTTCTGACAGCTTTTCTTTTCAAATGCTTTCACTGTTGTCATCCTGGATGCATCCCACTGTCACGCGCAATCCGTTTGCTTACCTGCATCTCTTCCTGCTGCATTTAATTCATGCACGCCGTTGCGCCGCAATAAGAACCCACCTACCGGTGCTCTGCTGTCTGATCTCTGACTCCTCTGCTTTCTGTCCTGCGTTGTGTTTCTTTCTCCAAAATTTGCTTCCTCTACCGACTTCTCCTTGTTTTTTTTTTTTTCTCTCAGCCAACAGGAGAGGGCGGCTGCACACGCTTCCCAGTGCTGGTCGACTTGCATCGCGACCAGAACCTGTCGGCCGGCTCTGTGCGCGGCAATCTTGGTGCCAGAGCCAACATGCCCAAGCCATGTAAGAGCCAATCTCTGGGATGACTTTTGAGTCGACTCAAAAGCCAATTATGGTGCCAGAACCAACATGCTAAAGCCATGTAAGAGCAAATATTTTCTCAAGATTAATAACTTATCTGGCTCATTGACTGGCCCGGTGCTCTGATTATGTGTTCCAATAAGCTCCAGGAGTTCTAATTTAACTCTGGTGGTCACCAGAAAGATGGTTTCCAGTCGTGGCAATCTGAGAGTGGAACGTTCGCCTGTCCGTCTCTCTTTGCTGCTCCCTGCGTTTTTCTCTCTGGGTGCAGCGGAGATACGGCAAGCACTGCAGTCGGACATGAGCAAGGCCAAGGGGTCGTCCAGGCACAGAGAGGAGGCGCAACTCATCCTCCGCTGGCCAATCGGTCCGTCCGTCTCCCGTCTTTCCCCCTCTCAGTCTTTTATCGTGAGTTGCAAGTATAAAAAGCATATTTGTCCGAGAGCTGCCTGCACTGCTGCGGTACAACATACAAAACAGAGTGGTGGTGTGTAGAGGGGTTGGCTTCTCCGGCTTCACTTTCCCACACTGCCGGCGTTCCGTCAATTTCAAATTTCCCTCACCGTTGCCTCACCACTTCCTCCTCGCTGTCTCCTCGCCCCGCGCCTTCTCCCCTGTTGGCCATTGCCGCCCATCCCTTGCACAGCCCCACCAATGCGCATCATTGACCTGCCTGGAATCGAGAAGGCATCTCAAATGGATGGAGCAGTAAGCCTTCCCTGCGCTATACCATGCTGTCTTAAATCGGTTTTCGTGTGTATGACCTGTTGTTTCTTGTCTCGTTTATGTGTACTTGATCATTTGCTCAGTTCGTCTCTAAGGCAGACAGCATGCTGCGGAACAATGATGCATGCAGTCATCCTGGGGTGCTTCAATTAATCCCATGCCTTTCACTCCAGGGCAATGTGTCCAACAACAATGCAGTCATCCTGGTGTGAGACGATTCTAGTGAAGCCAGCCTCATAGACTGGTCTTGACGATTCTGTACTTTTGTGCTTTGTTTGTACTCCATGCGTGCATGAATGCAGTTCCAGGACAACGTGTCCAACAACGATGCAGTCATCCTGGTGTGAGACGTTCCAAATGAAGCCAGCATCATAGACTGGGTTTGATAACGTATCTAACGATGTGTCCTGCACTGTACTCATGCATCTTGTACTTCACGTGTGCCTGCATGCAGTTCCAGGACAACGTGTCCAACAACGATGCAGTCATCCTGGTGGTGATCTCTGCCACGGCAGTTAAGGACTCTCTAAAGATCCTCCGTATCGCGCATGACATTGATAGAGAAGGTGAGTGGATGGGCATGCACTTGTGTTGCCGCGGTCTACATCTCAGGCGCCTCATCGATGCAGTCATCCTGGTGGTGATCTCTGCCACGGCAGTTAAGGACTCTCTGAAGATCCTTTGCATTGCGCACGACATTGATAGAGAAGGTGAGTGGATGGGCATGCACTCGTGTTGCCGCAGTCTACATCTTAGGCGCCTTAACGATGCAGTCATTCTGGTCTGGTCTCTGCCACGGCAGTCAAGGACTTTCTTCCTCAAGATTCTCCGCATTGCGCATGGCATTGACAGAGAAGGTGAGTGAGTGGGCATGCACTCGTGTTGCTGCGGTCTACATCTTAGGCGCCTCATCAATGCAGTAATCCATCCTGGTGGTGGTCTGGTCTGGTCTCTGCCACGGCATTCAAGGACTCCCTTAAGATCCTCTGCATTGCGCACGACATGGATCGAGAAGAAGAGTGAGTCGTCGAGGACAGAGGTGACTGTTGAGTCGACTCAAAGGTCACCTCATCTCTGCCACGGCAGGCAAGGACTCTCTTAAGGTCCTCTGCAAAGCGCACGACATTGATAGATAGAGAAGGTGAGTGAGTGAGTGGGCGTTGGATTCTTACGCGCATCAAGAACCTCCACATTGCTCACATCACAACATTGATGATAGAGAAGGTGAGTGAATGGAGGACAGGGATGACTCTTCAGAGGGACACAATCTGCTCACGACATCAATCAAGAAGGTGAAGAATTCACTGACTGACTGGCTGACTGACTGACTGACTGACCAGGGTCAAGGGCAGGTTGGAGTCAAAAGTTATTTTCTTTCAATGAACCCCAGCCCAGGTATGAGGACCACCAGGGTGATAACGAAATCCGACCAAGTCATGAAGGATAGTGACACAACGAAGCTGGCAGCGGACCTGTTGCAGAGGCAGGTTGACTAAACGCCTGCCCTTTTCAATCTCCTCCTTGTACAATCAACCCCCCAGGTGTGAGGACCATTGGAGTAATCTAAAAAATCAACCAAGTCATGAAGGGCAGAGGTACGGCGAAACTGGCAATGGCCTGCTGCAGAGGCGCATTGCACCCAGTGCACACCTTTTTTTATCTCTTTCTGTGCCACCGGACCCAGGTGTGCGAGGGATTGGAGTGATCACGAAATTCAACCAAGTGATGAAGGACAGAGACACGGCGAAGCTGCCAGTGGACCTGTTGCAGTGAGGCAGGTTGACTAAACGCATGCCCTTTTCAATCTCTTCTCTGTGCAACCAACCCCAGGTGTGAGGACCATCGGAGTAATAACGAAATTCGACCAAGTGATGAAGGACAGAGATACGGCGAAGCTGGCAGTGGATCTGCTGCAGAAGCAGGGGGCGGCCATGGCTCAGGACTACCCGTGGGTGGCTGTGATTGGGCAGCCGCTGGGGGACAAGGACACAAATGAGCCCATGGATGGTGCATGGCAGGAGGAATACAAGGTCTTATCACAGGTGAGATGAGAGTTCTGCTCTGGGTGAGTGGGAGGTGAGTGTGAACTGGAATTGGAATCTGGTGCAGTTTGCAAAGTACCCGTTGGTGGCGGTGATTGGGAAGCCTCTGGGGGACAAGGACACGAATGAGCTCATAGAGGCCGCATGGCATGAGGAGGGGAGCTCTCAAGGTGCTGTCACAGATGGGTTGGTCATGAATGATAACTTGTCCAGAATCAACGAACGAGTGGTGACGGTTGGTCAGAGGCTTGCCAGCAAGGGCACAAATAATTTTGGAGGGAGCAGAAGTCGGAATGGCAGGAAAAGTCCGAGTTGCTTTCTCAGATGGCCAGACATTTGTCTGCCTTTGAAGCCTTTTTGTCTATAAGGCATGGTTGTTTGTTCTAGAACATATTGTTGTGTTCTTTGCTTGTTCTTTTTGTATTTATTTTGTAGTTTTTTCTCGATTGTACCTTGTGGTGTGGATGGCCATCCCTGCTTTGCATGGCAGGTGATGCGGGCGAACGGAGTCAAAGGCATGGACACGCCCATGGGTCAGATGAGACGATATTTTAGGCGCTTCGCATACCTTCCTTGCTTGCTTTGCATGGCAGGTGATGCGGGCGAACGGAGTCAAAGGCATGGACACGCCCATGGGTCGCGACGCGCTGCTGCGGCTGATTGCTCGCACCGTGCGGCACAAGATGAAGGAGAAGATTCCCCGCATCATGTCTGCGTAAGTCTCGCTCACCCCCTCCTCTCACTCGCTCACCCCGTCCTCTCACTCGCTCACCCACCCTTCCTCTTCTCACAAGGTGACATAAGAATTTCCAGCCTTTTTTCCGCATAAGCACCTCTCAACCCCTCCACACCATCACTCCCATTCATATGCTCACGGCCAGTGCCTCACTCTCACACCTTCCATCTGCTCACGAATAAATGTGCCAAACTTTTGTATTATGTCCGCATAAGCGTCTCTCATCACACTCACTGGCTCTCCCAAACCTCCCCCTTTTCTCCTCTCCTGGTCCTCTCAGCTTGGAGGGTCGCTCTCAAGAGGTGGACGCGGAGCTGCTGCGGCTGGGCGACTCCCTGGTCTCCAGCGTGCATGGCTCGCGTGCGCTCGCCCTGGAGCTGTGCCGAGAGTTTGAAAAGCTCATGTCTCCTGGCCTCCCCCCTCCCTGTTCCCTTCAGCCTGGAGGGTCGGTCTGAGGAGGTGGATGCGGAGCTACTCAGGCTGGGCGAATCCCTCGTCTCCAGCCTCAACGGCTCACGAGCCCTCGCCCTGGAGCTGTGCCGAGGGTTTGAGACCAAGTTCTGCGAACACCTGGACGGCAGTGAGGTGCGTGTGTGCTGGGGAAGGGAGTGGGCATGATGGGGTATTGCAAGGTGGTGGTGCAGGTGGGGGGAAGGGGCGGCTCCCTGGTGTCCAGTTTGAATGGCTGTGTGCCCTCGCCCTGGAGTTGTGCCGAGGGTTTGAGACCAAGTTCTGCGAACACCTGGACGGCAGTGAGGTGCGTGCGCTGGGAAGGGGGCAGGATGGGATGGGCTGTTGCAAGGTGTTGCAATCATGCTATAGCAACGTGCATGCTCCAGCAACATGCATGCTCTCTAACAAACCCCGTTCGCCTTCTGTTTCATCCACCCGCTTCACCTCCACTCCACACACACAGGGCGGAGGGTCGCAGATGGTGGAGAGGTTCGTGTGCACGCTGCCTCTACGCTTCAGGGCCTGCCCAACAAACCCCGTTCTGATTCCGTCCATCCACCCAATTCGCCCTGACTCCACACCTACCACAGGGCGGAGAGTCGCAGATGGTGGAGAGGTTCGTGGGCACGCTGCCTCTTTGTCAAGGCCCTCCTTTTAGCAACATGCTCAAACCAGCCTCGTTCTGGCTCCTTCCATCCACCTAATTCACCCCAAATCCACACCCACAGGGCGGAGGGTCGCAGATGGTGGAGAAGTTTGTCGGTACGCTGCCTCTGCGCTTCAGAGGGCTCCCGCTGGACGACATGTTCAGCTTTGACAACGTCAAGAAGGTGAGTGTGGGACTTCAATCTATAGTCGGCTGAAAAAGGATTGTCTCTACGCTTCAGAGGGCTCCCCCTGGACGACATGTTCAGCTTTGACAACGTGAAAAAGGCGAGTGACCTGTCAATGCTGTCCTGTTTAGTCGACTTCAAAAGTGGCTTTTGAGTCGACTCGAAAGTCACATGGACGACATGTTCGGCCTTGACAACGTGAAGAAGGTGAGAGAGCCGTTGATTCCTGCTTGCTCCTGCTTCTGCCCCTGCTTCTGCCCCTGCTTCTGCCCCTGCTTCTGCCCCTGCTTCTGCCCCTAAACCCGAAACCCTAAACCCTAAACCCTAAACAAGCTACGCCCACATGGCCTCTAAAGTTTCTCTTCCTTCGTCCTGACTGTTACCCCACCAGGTGGTGATGGTGGCGGATGGGTACCAGCCATACCTGGTGTCGCCTGAGAAGGGTCCTCAAGCCCAAGCCCGCTACGCGCTATTGTAAAAACGTCTGTTTTTCCCTCCCACCACTCCCTTGTGGCCATTCTTACTGACTGTTGGCCCACCAGGTGGTGATGGTGGCGGATGGGTACCAGCCATACCTGCTGTCACCTGAGAAAGGCCTTCAAGCCTGCTACACGTCAATGTAAAATCGTCTGTTTCTCCACCACTCCATGGGCCATTCTTACCGTTGCCCCACCAGGTGGTGATGGTGGCGGACGGATACCAGCCATACCTGCTGTCGCCAGAGAAGGGCCTGCGTCTGCTCATCAAGAGGAGTCTGGAGCTGGCCAAGCAGCCTGGCATTGACTGTGTGGACGAGGTGAGTGAGGGCAGAGTGTTCACTGCTGTTGACTTGCATTGACTTTGATTGACTTCGTCTGCTTATCAAGAGGAGTCTGGAGAGCCTGGCATTGACTGCGTGGCCGAGGTGAGAGCAGGACATCGTTGCAGCTGCCACATCCCAAGCCCCTTCTGAGACCTCTCAAGACTGAATCTTCCTCGTAACCTGCTCTTTACCTTGTCATGCCACACGCATCCATTGCAGGTGCACACACAAGATCCTCATGGGCATCGTTGCAGCTGCTTTTCAGATTTCTCAAAAGCAACTCCATCCTTCTCTTAACCTGCTCCTCCCATGCCATGTGCCACACCCATCCATCCATCCTTGCATGCAATGTAGGTGCACAAGATTCTCATGGACATCGTTGCAGCTGCTGCATCCCAAGCCCCTTCGCTCGTCCGCTTCCCACCCATGAAAACAGAGGTACAGTGAGTGGCTGGCTGTCTATAAGCTTCCCAGTTCACCCCATCTTTGCAGCCGGCCCCTCGATCCTCTCTCCTCCCCTTTACAAACACCGATACTTTCCTTGTCCCGACCCCATGCCTTCTCCCTCCCGATCCCCCCTCCCTCTCTCCCACTCTTTCTTTCTGACCCGTCATGGCTCAGTTTACAGTAAGTGGGAGCAACAAGCTTCTAGCACGAGTGCCCCTCTTCCCTCCCTCTCTATCATAGCCACCTCATGGCCATAGCGTTGTCGGCATTAGCCAGAGCAAGTAGCATCATCGCAACGGGGCCCTGCCCTCCCCTCTCCCCTCTTCCCACTCCCCTCTCCCCTCTCCCCTCTCCCCTCTCCCCTCTCCCCTCTCCCCTCTCCCCTCTCCCTTCTCCCCTCTCCCTTTGTACCGTAACCACCCCATGGCCATACTTTCGCTGGAATTAGTCAGAGCAAGTAGCATCATGGCCACAGGGCCCTGCCCTCTGCCCCTCCCCTCTTCCCACTCCCTTCCCTCCGCTCTCCACACTAGCAACCAGCTCGTGGCCATAGCATCAGCAGCACTAGGTGAGTATCACGCGGACGCGAAGCGCATGGTGACGGCCATACTGGACACGGAGAGAGTGCCAATATGGCTGTCACCATGCGCTTCGCCTCCACGAGAGATGGGCTCGTGACCACATGGCACTCTCTCCCTTGCCTTCTCCCCTTCTTCCTGCTCCTCCCTCCTCCCCCTAACTCCCAGCTGGTGGCCATAGCGTCGGCAACACTGGACGAGTATTGCGGAGAAGCGAAGCGCATGTGACTGGCGCATGGTGACTGGCGCATGGTGACTGGCGCATGGTGACTGGCGCATGGTGACTGGCGCATGGTGACTGGCGCATGGTGACTGGCGCATGGTGACTGGCGCATGGTGACTGGCGCATGGTGACTGGCGCATGGTGACTGGCGCATGGTGACTGGCGCATGGTGACTGGCGCATGGTGACTGGCGCATGGTGACTGGCGCATGGTGACTGGCGCATGGTGACTGGCGCATGGTGACTGGCGCATGGTGACTGGCGCATGGTGACTGGCGCATGGTGACTGGCGCATGGTGACTGGCGCATGGTGACTGGCGCATGGTGACTGGCGCATGGTGACTGGCGCATGGTGACTGGCGCATGGTGACTGGCGCATGGTGACTGGCGCATGGTGACTGGCGCATGGTGACTGGCGCATGGTGACTGGCGCATGGTGACTGGCGCATGGTGACTGGCGCATGGTGACTGGCGCATGGTGACTGGCGCATGGTGACTGGCGCATGGTGACTGGCGCATGGTGACTGGCGCATGGTGACTGGCGCATGGTGACTGGCGCATGGTGACTGGCGCATGGTGACTGGCGCATGGTGACTGGCGCATGGTGACTGGCGCATGGTGACTGGCGCATGGTGACTGGCGCATGGTGACTGGCGCATGGTGACTGGCGCATGGTGACTGGCGCATGGTGACTGGCGCATGGTGACTGGCGCATGGTGACTGGCGCATGGTGACTGGCGCATGGTGACTGGCGCATGGTGACTGGCGCATGGTGACTGGCGCATGGTGACTGGCGCATGGTGACTGGCGCATGGTGACTGGCGCATGGTGACTGGCGCATGGTGACTGGCGCATGGTGACTGGCGCATGGTGACTGGCGCATGGTGACTGGCGCATGGTGACTGGCGCATGGTGACTGGCGCATGGTGACTGGCGCATGGTGACTGGCGCATGGTGACTGGCGCATGGTGACTGGCGCATGGTGACTGGCGCATGGTGACTGGCGCATGGTGACTGGCGCATGGTGACTGGCGCATGGTGACTGGCGCATGGTGACTGGCGCATGGTGACTGGCGCATGGTGACTGGCGCATGGTGACTGGCGCATGGTGACTGGCGCATGGTGACTGGCGCATGGTGACTGGCGCATGGTGACTGGCGCATGGTGACTGGCGCATGGTGACTGGCGCATGGTGACTGGCGCATGGTGACTGGCGCATGGTGACTGGCGCATGGTGACTGGCGCATGGTGACTGGCGCATGGTGACTGGCGCATGGTGACTGGCGCATGGTGACTGGCGCATGGTGACTGGCGCATGGTGACTGGCGCATGGTGACTGGCGCATGGTGACTGGCGCATGGTGACTGGCGCATGGTGACTGGCGCATGGTGACTGGCGCATGGTGACTGGCGCATGGTGACTGGCGCATGGTGACTGGCGCATGGTGACTGGCGCATGGTGACTGGCGCATGGTGACTGGCGCATGGTGACTGGCGCATGGTGACTGGCGCATGGTGACTGGCGCATGGTGACTGGCGCATGGTGACTGGCGCATGGTGACTGGCGCATGGTGACTGGCGCATGGTGACTGGCGCATGGTGACTGGCGCATGGTGACTGGCGCATGGTGACTGGCGCATGGTGACTGGCGCATGGTGACTGGCGCATGGTGACTGGCGCATGGTGACTGGCGCATGGTGACTGGCGCATGGTGACTGGCGCATGGTGACTGGCGCATGGTGACTGGCGCATGGTGACTGGCGCATGGTGACTGGCGCATGGTGACTGGCGCATGGTGACTGGCGCATGGTGACTGGCGCATGGTGACTGGCGCATGGTGACTGGCGCATGGTGACTGGCGCATGGTGACTGGCGCATGGTGACTGGCGCATGGTGACTGGCGCATGGTGACTGGCGCATGGTGACTGGCGCATGGTGACTGGCGCATGGTGACTGGCGCATGGTGACTGGCGCATGGTGACTGGCGCATGGTGACTGGCGCATGGTGACTGGCGCATGGTGACTGGCGCATGGTGACTGGCGCATGGTGACTGGCGCATGGTGACTGGCGCATGGTGACTGGCGCATGGTGACTGGCGCATGGTGACTGGCGCATGGTGACTGGCGCATGGTGACTGGCGCATGGTGACTGGCGCATGGTGACTGGCGCATGGTGACTGGCGCATGGTGACTGGCGCATGGTGACTGGCGCATGGTGACTGGCGCATGGTGACTGGCGCATGGTGACTGGCGCATGGTGACTGGCGCATGGTGACTGGCGCATGGTGACTGGCGCATGGTGACTGGCGCATGGTGACTGGCGCATGGTGACTGGCGCATTGGTGACTGGCGCATGGTGACTGGCGCATGGTGACTGGCGCATGGTGACTGGCGCATGGTGACTGGCGCATGGTGACTGGCGCATGGTGACTGGCGCATGGTGACTGGCGCATGGTGACTGGCGCATGGTGACTGGCGCATGGTGACTGGCGCATGGTGACTGGCGCATGGTGACTGGCGCATGGTGACTGGCGCATGGTGACTGGCGCATGGTGACTGGCGCATGGTGACTGGCGCATGGTGACTGGCGCATGGTGACTGGCGCATGGTGACTGGCGCATGGTGACTGGCGCATGGTGACCTGGCGCATGGTGACTGGCGCATGGTGACTGGCGCATGGTGACTGGCGCATGGTGACTGGCGCATGGTGACTGGCGCATGGTGACTGGCGCATGGTGACTGGCGCATGGTGACTGGCGCATGGTGACTGGCGCATGGTGACTGGCGCATGGTGACTGGCGCATGGTGACTGGCGCATGGTGACTGGCGCATGGTGACTGGCGCATGGTGACTGGCGCATGGTGACTGGCGCATGGTGACTGGCGCATGGTGACTGGCGCATGGTGACTGGCGCATGGTGACTGGCGCATGGTGACTGGCGCATGGTGACTGGCGCATGGTGACTGGCGCATGGTGACTGGCGCATGGTGACTGGCGCATGGTGACTGGCGCATGGTGACTGGCGCATGGTGACTGGCGCATGGTGACTGGCGCATGGTGACTGGCGCATGGTGACTGGCGCATGGTGACTGGCGCATGGTGACTGGCGCATGGTGACTGGCGCATGGTGACTGGCGCATGGTGACTGGCGCATGGTGACTGGCGCATGGTGACTGGCGCATGGTGACTGGCGCATGGTGACTGGCGCATGGTGACTGGCGCATGGTGACTGGCGCATGGTGACTGGCGCATGGTGACTGGCGCATGGTGACTGGCGCATGGTGACTGGCGCATGGTGACTGGCGCATGGTGACTGGCGCATGGTGACTGGCGCATGGTGACTGGCGCATGGTGACTGGCGCATGGTGACTGGCGCATGGTGACTGGCGCATGGTGACTGGCGCATGGTGACTGGCGCATGGTGACTGGCGCATGGTGACTGGCGCATGGTGACTGGCGCATGGTGACTGGCGCATGGTGACTGGCGCATGGTGACTGGCGCATGGTGACTGGCGCATGGTGACTGGCGCATGGTGACTGGCGCATGGTGACTGGCGCATGGTGACTGGCGCATGGTGACTGGCGCATGGTGACTGGCGCATGGTGACTGGCGCATGGTGACTGGCGCATGGTGACTGGCGCATGGTGACTGGCGCATGGTGACTGGCGCATGGTGACTGGCGCATGGTGACTGGCGCATGGTGACTGGCGCATGGTGACTGGCGCATGGTGACTGGCGCATGGTGACTGGCGCATGGTGACTGGCGCATGGTGACTGGCGCATGGTGACTGGCGCATGGTGACTGGCGCATGGTGACTGGCGCATGGTGACTGGCGCATGGTGACTGGCGCATGGTGACTGGCGCATGGTGACTGGCGCATGGTGACTGGCGCATGGTGACTGGCGCATGGTGACTGGCGCATGGTGACTGGCGCATGGTGACTGGCGCATGGTGACTGGCGCATGGTGACTGGCGCATGGTGACTGGCGCATGGTGACTGGCGCATGGTGACTGGCGCATGGTGACTGGCGCATGGTGACTGGCGCATGGTGACTGGCGCATGGTGACTGGCGCATGGTGACTGGCGCATGGTGACTGGCGCATGGTGACTGGCGCATGGTGACTGGCGCATGGTGACTGGCGCATGGTGACTGGCGCATGGTGACTGGCGCATGGTGACTGGCGCATGG